TCCTGCAACTCTAGGCTTGTGTATGTGGACATGTAGAAGGTGAGAGAAAGTGATGCAAATTTAGGTCTAGAAGGCACTTGTCCCACCTGTGTCTTTAAACATTGCCTAGTGCAGTCCTGGGGTTTTGCGGCAGCATCTCTGGAAACATATTGGAGGGCGGAGGTGAGGAAGAAGAGAGTTTGAGAAAAGGAGCAGCAAGAGGGAGCCTCTTTCTGCTGCGCATGTTGGCTGTTGGTTGGAAAAAATTGGAAGCCGGGGTTCCTTGGCTAGTTATAGAAAAATACTATATGGTAATTGGAACATTTCTAAAAGCCTAAACAAATTCTCATGGGTCTTAGGAGAGATTTGAGAGTAGAGAAATGTTTGAGAGTGAGATGGGCAGTAATACTTCTTTAACAGGGCTGGGGATGTAGCTCAACGGCTCTGCACCTGTCTGGCAAGTGGAAGTCCTGAGTTCAATTCCTGGTACCAGATAAAAAAACAAATAAATGCTTCTTTAACCAAAGTGAGAGGATCTGTAAAAGACAACAACCCTGACGTGCTCCAAAAGGCAGCAGCACCTTGCTTTTCTTCTGAGTCTCTCTTTTCACTTTCACATCTTACCACAGGACCTTTTCTCATTAGCACCTTCACCAGAGTTGGAGCTGGAGAAGAAAAGGAAGTGTTCAGACATGTGCCTATTTGCATAACTACTTCGCTGAGTTAATGCCAGGACAGCACAAACTTTCCATCCAGGTCCATGAAAAAGCCAGTTTTCATTTATCACGATGGTATTATTTTCTTTTTCAGCATAGAACATTTTATTGCCAGGCTTCTCTTAACTGTACATTATAAATAGTGTCTGATTAAGAATGTTCTGGATGGGTTAATTAGTGTGGTGACTATTATTAAGCAAACTGCTTGTTAGTATTATGCCTATTTGATCTTGGTATTGATGTGAATTAATTGACCATAGAGCTACATTTAGAAAAGCTGAAATAAACTTTTTTAAAATTTCTATTATGGCAATAAATTGTTTATATTAAACATGTCTATGAAAATCTGAGTTTCACGGCATGGAGAATCAGAATAGACTCTGTGTGGGATGCTGGGTGAGGTTTGTTTTGTTTTGTTTTTAAAAATATTAACATATTTGTCCAAGCTTCTTCAAGACTAGCTCTATTGAAACAAAGTAGTATGAAATTATTTCAGTTTCTTCCTTTGCTATTGCTGCAGAATATGTAAAAATCAAAGTGTTTTAGACTCCCCCCAACTAAAGGAGGTACCCTGTTAGATTCAGCTAATTGCCTAAATTCTTCTTTTGGTGGCAATCACTATAATAAATAGACCATTAAAGAAAAATGTGAAAAGATATTATAAACAAGGGAAACGAAACGTAGCTTATAACCACCTTCTTTCAAGTACTGAATTGTTATCTGTATTATTTATTGGTATTTTGTCCAGTTCTGTTATTAAGTTTCTCTAGCTGTCATATATCCATAGGGAATTTATTCGATGAGCTAATAAATTATACCATCAGGGAATTTTTTCTTGAAATTCAGCTTAAATTTTCCCATTCTTAATTCCATCTCATTGCTCCTAGTTATACTCCCTTGTACCAGGCTAAATAATTATTCTTTTTCCTTAGAGACTCCTATTATGTACCCCTCTACTTGTCACTTCACTAGGCTATTCATATTTAGCTCCTTTAATCTGTCCTCATAAATCAGTTCTTCCATTGCCTTAGTCATTACTACTGCTCTTTTAAGAACTCTCTAATTTTTAAACATATACAGTTCTAGGGTGCCCGTGATGAAATCAGCATTCATTCAATGTTCTACAGACCCAGTTTCTTCCCTCCCTTTACAATAGGAATCCGAACTAAGTGACATCAGTTTGTTGGGTCAAATCAGCACTTGCTCATCTTGTCAAACTCAGGATGATTTTTCACTGTTTCCAACTTGCATACAAGATTTATTCTGATTTTTTTCAATTTTGTGGGATTTGTAAGCTGTTTTGTTTCCTGCCCCTATTTATATTCTGCATCATTTCATGTCCTTATTCACTACCACCTATCAAGTCAGTCATCCACAACCTGTGTTAACATGGGAATTTAGTCATCTTTGAGAACATTTAAGAAATGTGTTGAATGAAAGCAGACCTAGCACCTTGCCCAGAGCTAAATTTATTGTCAGTTACCAATTTCCATTGTTTACAACCCTTTAGCCAATCTCCCGTCTCTTTTAATTTGTAGTTTTGCTCACATGCTGGCCAATATAAATGGATTTTATGAGTCAGATGGGTCATGAGGTTGTTTTCTAAAATGAAGATATGTTGTTTCAGTACCCCTTGGTTTTTTTTTAATTGTGAATCCTTTTTGCACTAAGTATAATTTTGTTAAAATCCTCTTTAAGTTTGCCTGGCATACTTTATCTGACATTAACAAATGGGTTGTTTGCTTTATTGTTGTTTTCTAGATATGTACAGATGTTCTTTCTCTTACCATTTGTTCTGTTTGGGAGAAGCTGAAGATGTTAACATAGTAATTTTCTTTTTTACCTATTGTGGTGATAAATTAAAACTTAAAACTTCTTTTTTTTGTGACAGAGTTTCACTGTATAGTTGAAGCTATCCTAGAACGCTCTATGTAGTCCAGGCTGGCCTTGAACTCAGCCCAGGGCTCCTGCTTCAGCCTCCCAAATGCTGAAATTAACAGGCATGCACCACTAAGCCCAGCTTTTTTTTTTAATTTTGAGGTAGAGTCTTCCTAAGTGGCTCAGGTGAGGCCTAAACTTTTGCTACTCCTACCACAGCCTTGAAAATAGTTAGAATTACAAGTGTGTGTAAAGGGGTTTTTTTAGCTCTTTAGAATACCCTCAGGATTTTCAGTTTGTTTTAGGAAGAAAGCTAATTTGCCCCCTTAATACTTTTAGACCGGTGAGATCTGCAGATACAATCTGTAAATACCCATTTTTCCCCATTTTAAATCAAGGACTTACTTATTATTTTATTACATCATATTTAAGGGGCTAATACCATTCTTTGCATTTTATCCCTCTGTATGAAATCATCTGTTTATTGCTTGGGGGTTCATATATTTAATTGTTTTTTCTCCCATTTAAAATCAGAATAGACATTTAAAGGGCTTTATGAGAAAAGCATAGAAGCTCCCAAAGCAAACTTCCTGACCCTGGAGTGTGCATGGCATAGTACAGCCAAAGGCCTTGTTTCTAGTTCATATGGGTTCCCCACTGTTCGCTAGTATTGCTGATCAGCCCTAGGTAATGCTCCCTGCCTGTGAATGCAGGGACTCTGGTCCTGTAGCTGACCCCTTAAACCCTGTGTCCATTTCTGCTCACCTCACTTGAAACAGAAACCTGCCCTAATGCTTTAGTGACACACTCCTTTTATTCCACACCTGCCACCCAAATTTTTTTCCAGTTCCATTTCTCCCTCCTCAGTTCAGCTTTACAGAAAATTCAGTCTTTTCTCTTTTACTTGACCCCTACTTATACACACATACATACCAAGAATCCTGCCATTAATAACAGATATTATTCTTTTTCCCATTCCCATTTTTCAAGACTTTTTTGGTAAGATCCTGTTTCCTTTCTTAGCAAGTGTCCCTGACTATTTCTATGTCCTCACAAATCCAAACCTTCTTTGAGGTTTTTGCCCATGCTACCACACAGGGACTTTTGGAACTCCATAGGAGTAGCCATTGCCCTAGGACAAGACTATTGCTGTAACACCTTGCAGTGTTTTATATTTTTATACAATTTTTTGAGGATTCTTGATTCATTTCCATTATTCTCTCAAATTGTCTTTCTACTCTTCCAAATGTTACTTATTGCTCTCCTTCATGATTTCTTCTACTTTGTTGGCCCCAAATGCATGTATTCTTCATTTTTCACTTTCTCAGCCATTCAGACAAAAACCAAATCCCTAAATGAGCCTCAGGAACTCAAGAGAGCACTTGGTCTTGTGGCCCAGTCTATCCCTCCAGTCTTACATATCAGCCTCTTTGGATTGCATGTAATTCCAAGAAGAGTTCAGGTTCCTGCATAACCATTTCCTTTGATCCCATTGTTCTCTCAATCCAGACCTTCCCCACCTTGGAAAATCCTTGCATTAAACCCTTTCAGGACTTTACTGATCCCCTAGATAGGATAAATTTATTCTTCACTTGAGCTGGAAAAGTTGAAATGTCCATTGTAGATGCAGTATATTCCAATATTGGTTAGTTACCTGTTTATACATCTCTCTCTCTCACTCTGTTTTAAGCACTCTTTATTTTCTCCCCAATAGATGGAGAGCTCCTTAAGAGATCTTGTGTTTGCGTGTATAGCTCACAGATTTTAGGCTACATTTGAATTTTTAAAGATTTTATTTGTATTCCCTATCAATAAGTAATGGATTCTGAATAGCAATCACTAAGTAACAGATATCGAACACATATTGCCCCATAACAAAGCATGATGGGAAGTAGGGGAGAAATTATAATGAAATGGCTATTAAAATATATTTCAGGAAAACATTAGCAAGGTCATTTTAACAACAAGTATGCACAGGTGCCCAGAAATGCCAAATAGCCTTGTGAGAAGTGGCAAAGGTAGCCAAGAAAATATCAAACATTGGTATAGGATAATGAACATGTGGCTTGAATACAACCACTGGACCATGGGGTGACTTGAAAACATAAAATGAAAATGCAGAAAGATGAGTGAGGGAAGAATGATAAATTATCTCAGTAGTCTTATGTTTAATTTTATGTGCAGTGCAGGTTTTATATCCACAGAAACTCTTTGGAAACCACTCAAAAATAGTCTTGTCTAATTTCAAACCTTTGAACCATCTCTCAGTAGCTAATACCTGTTGAACCTTTTCTAAAATTTTTGTTATGACATCTTCATATTTTTTCTCAGCTTTATGTACAGTTATCATGTCCTTATAGAAAGGTAAGAGTAATTTTACATATTTTTTTTTTACTAAAAGCATATTGCATTCCCTTTTTGTAACAGATTCATGCCCAAGCACAAAATAACCCATTTAAAGAAGATGCTCAGCCTTAAAGGAAATGGCAGTGCTGCTCTCTCCATGGCCCTTCTTTCACAGCCGGAACAGAGAAACCCTGAGAATTTATTGGAGAATTTTAATTCAGTGGACAATGTATACTCTGAGCTTCATACTGCACAGGAAAACCTGGATAACTCATCAATGCAAGAGTCGGACTCAAAACATTCAAATTCATCAGATAATTCAAGATCTCATCATGGAGAAAATACACATCTGACTCTTAATTCCTTTGACAGTTTGGGTGGAGTTGATGATCAGCAAAGACCGTTGCACATTGTCTGGCCTCACAGGTGGTAAGTCAAGACATCCAATTGAGTAAAAACTGGCAATAGAAAATATATCCAATGACTGACTTACTGATTTGCTGTCCTTATAGCTTTAGAAAAAGATCATTTTAATGTAATAGTACTGATACAGTGAAAGATGGTAATACTCAAATATTTTATGTTAATTAATTTGTGTTTAGAATTTGAATTAAGATAATCACTATTTGCAGTGATTTGCTCAACCAACAGTAGTAGCCAGACATTCAGAAATTCAATTCTTGTTTAAGACAGTTTCAGCGTATAAGATACCATTTTAGATATACACACATACATTCATGTTACCACAAAACAGTTTTATATACATACATTGATAAATCTGTATCACCATTAAATAAGAACAATTTTTATTATTTACTACTGTTTTGACCAGTGTCAACTAGGTGGCTTTGTTTTACTTGTCATAATATAGCTCAGAACATTTGAAACCATTTCCCTTCTCCCAAATGTGTCTCTGTATTGTGCTAAGCAAAATACCATCTAGCCGAGTCCTTTCTAAATAGAGAAAAATCAACTGCAGTGCATAATCTCACCAAATGTAAACTCATAAATTTGACCCTAGTTTCTATAAATTAGGATTTAAAAAGGTAAAATGTCCTGATAATCTTCTGGTATTAGGCATGAACATTTTAATCTAGTTTTCATTCCTCCCAGTTAGTTTAATCTGCATGTGGCCTGATTAGAGTTCACATCCCCCACAGATTATGGTCTTTTTATTGCAGAGATCCTGAGCTTATCATTAGGTCAGATTTTCTGAGAGCAACTATTTGCAGGTGAAGTAATAAGCACACCACACCAGCCCGGGAAAGCTCCTTTGCCGAGGATTTGACTTCCAGCACATTAAAACTCCAGAGTCCTCCCAGCTGATCTGCAGCATCTGGTACCTAAAGGGATTTTTATCTTTAATTTTAAATATATGAACATAAAACTTAGTGATTGAAGGTTGATGTGGAATGTGTTTTGGATGTGCTAATCATCACACTTCCAGCATATCTTTTCTAAGGGAGTAACATTTATTTGCAAATCATATTTTGTTTAGAATGTGATGGTGTTCAGTATCTTTTACCTTATTTTAAAATATAGTGGATCTGGGTAAGATCAACCTGTTTGAAGGTAAAATACATGGCCTCATTTACTCCCTTCTGAAAGGTTTTTCTTTTATTCCATTAATTTTGGTTGTCTCTGAACTAATATTTATTGCAAGAAAATCAGTTCTAAAAAGTTTCATTCTGGTTTATCATAAAAATGTTAAATAATTTATAGACCGTTGTTACTAAACAGTGATGTGGAGGATATAGAGAGAGCCATGTTATTCAATACTTTGCACAAAATAAGACAAAGCTATGTTGATAAAATTAACAATATTAAATTGAATAATTCCCTCTCTTCCTTTTTATATTTTTGCTTTAATTTAATTTAATTGCCTAAAGTTAGTTGCTTAAAGAGATACAGCATTATGTTTGTGCACATTCTTATTGTTAAAGCTAAATTATTTTTAATTTGGAGAAGAGGGAAAAAAGTCACATCAGCAAGAGTAAATGCCAAAATATAAAAGTAACACATTCATCCTTACGGGTAATATAGTAGAACATTGGAAACTTGGAGGTTGCCAGACACATAGCTAACATTAGGGCTAATTTTGAAAATCTAGCGTGCAGTCAATTTTACTGATGCCTGGGGACATACAAGGTAGAAGCTGACAAGAGAACTAATTTTGTTTGGGTTATTTACTGCTATGCATCATCCTCGGGTTCCCGCCTGACACACAGCTATATGAAGGGGGATATTATCACACACTAAAAATTTATGTTGACATTCGATATTTGTTCAATATGTCAGCAGTATTACTTTCATAATCAAAAGAGTAAGAAAAAGAGAAAAGAAAAGCACTTTATGCTCATATAGATATATCTTTTTAATAACAGTCTATAAGGTTAATATAGTTTACCTTTGAGAGTATACAATGAAAACAAGCAGGGTTAGGAGGGGAAATGACAGAAAGCATCAACTCGAGCTGTTTGTTTGCCATTACCTAAGCGAGCCATGTCAGCTCTCTGGCCCGCGTCTGATAGCTATTTGTTGTACAGAGAGCACAGCATAAAAAAAATATCAAACTCTTAATACTATTGTGTGCCCATAACCATCTGTCACTGCTAGCCTGGAGATGAGAGGAAGATTACGAGGAATAAACACTGAGCCGCCGAGCATTGGTAAAGCCTTCGGGCAAAAAACTCTTGTGGGGACATCAAAGACATTCTAATTCCGAGGCAGTCAAGGATTACAGTGTGTAACCTGTGCTGACAACAGATAAATGACTGGCAATATTGTGCCAGAGCTGTTGGGTCCTGCATGGAGTACTGATGATGATGATGATGATGTTATCTTGCAGAATGGACTCTGCTGGGATAATTTTATGATAAAACACTTTTTTCAAATGCCACTGGGTCTAGGCAGACATTTACTAGCTACAGGGGTAGCAATCAGTTTCTTCAAAATTTACTGTTCTAAGCCCATTAGAGTTCCAGCACAGCAAGACTCTTCAATGAAAATCTAAAATGCCTATATTTTCTTTAGGAGAATATATGCAAATGTTGTGAGCTGAACTCCTACCCTTTAGTAGTAGATGCTTTATCATCTGATTTATGTAAATTTGCTCATAAAAATACAGTCTATTTTTAATTGGTGAATATGAATTAGAAAATTAAGATTCTGGTTCAGCATTCATCAAACATCCCCAGCTACAAGCACACATTTATTTAGAACCCTAATCATATGGGTAGAAATCATATCATTGACCAGTCAGTGCAAATTGTATTCCAAAGGAAGTGACCAGGATTATGTTTCTGATGCAGCTCTCTTAGTTTTTGCCTCACCTACCTTTACCCTTTACATGTCCTTTTCAGTACTATGAGTTACTTTAACTCCCTGCTCACAGGTGGCTTTTCTTTGGAGCACCCTGTAAGAAGCTTTTCAGGCTGTTGCATCTGTGCTGTGTCCACATGGTGTTTTCTGAAGAGAAAGTATTTCAGGAGAGGCAAGTGTATCAGTGGTTGTTTCCCCTGTAAACATGAAGGAGAAGTGGGCACTAGGGGATGGAGTGTTCTTAGACTCTGTCATTACCTTTCCTAACAAAACAAAAATAAAACCCTCCTCCTTATCATAAAAAATACGCCCATGAAATCATGCTGTTGTGGTAGTCAACTCTAAAAATGAAGTGATGCTGACCTCATTGTGTTCGTTCCACACTGGGATCATGAATGGTTTAAAATATAGTGTTAGCCTCTAACATATCTTGTACTAAGTCAAACAAATGTAGAGCTTACTTGCTAGGATATGTATCAAAATCAAAAGTGACATTTTATAGGAGATTCATTCTGGCTTTAAATCTGTGTTAAAATGTTTGTGTATGAGAATAGGCCCTTAAATACAAGGTTTGCCCCCTCTCTTCAGTCTTTCCTAATCTAGGCTTGTCAAAGATTATAGTGAGGAACTTCTGCTGACAGTAGATAAATAACTGACAGTATTTTAACAGAGTGGCTGGGTTCTCTGCAAAGTAATTTGTTTTCTACTTTCTACCCAGTCTTTAATGTTTTGTTATAAACATCTATGCAAGGCATGCTTAATAGAAATGACTTATAGAGAAAGATCTGTAAAAAAAACACACTGCAATTGGCAATGCTTGTTTTTTTAACTGTTTTCTTTCCAAAAATTGTACTGACCTTGAAATTTTGCACCAGTTTCCAGACTTTATGTAAATATTCTCTACATTGTGTTAGGCACAACATGCACACTGCTGGAGGGACAGAAAAAATAAGTGTAGAAAGTATTGAAAACTCACACTCTCAAGGCCATGGTTCTCAACTGTGTGATATCAAGACTCTTTCACAATCTTAAAAAATTAGTGAGGTACCAAAAAACTCTTTTGTTTATTGGAAATTTAACTTTCAATATTTACTGCATTAGAAATGAAAATTGGAGAGAAAGTTTTAAATCTACATTAAATCATCTTAAAATAACAATGAAGAACCAAATACTAATATAAATTAGATATTTTCATTAAAATAACTATTTTTTAAAACGAAAAAGTAATACCAAGGAGTGACATTATTTTACATATTTGTACATCTGAAATATCTAAGTGGAGGAGAGTTTGATTTGATTCTTACATCTTTTTTTTTTTTTTTTTTTGGTACCGGGGATCGAACTTGGGTCCTTGTGCTTGCGCAGCAGGCAATGAAACCACTGAGCTAAATCCCTGGCCCTCTTACATCTCTTTAAGTATTCAGTCTGTTGTAATATGTTGTTTTGGAAATTTATAAAAAAAAATTCATTCCTCACAAAGAGATGTTGTTGGAAAAGGAAGTTTCAGTGGCCTATTCGGGTTATTGTAAATGTTCTTCTTTGATACTGTACCAAAGCTTGACAAGGAGTTTCTTTATGCTTAGTTGAAGTGTGGACTCTCATACCACCTCAATGTGCTCTCCATGCTCTGTTACTTGCATTTTGAATGGATTTTGTAGCATCATGAATTGATCACTTGGAAAATAATAGGCTTATTGAATAATGCAGATGTTTTAGATATTGATACAGTTCATTGTCCTTTTTCAAAAAATCACATTTGTTAGTATAACCATAGTGTAGATACAGTTTTTCCAAAATTCTAATGGCTACTTAAAAGTTCAAACTTAGAATTACAAGATATATCAGCTGTTCTCTTTGAAATGTCAGGTTCACATGGTTAATATCTAAGAAAATGTCTGCCAAATACTCAAGTCTGACCAACCATCTTTTGTGTATCAGTTTTTCTTTCATCTAAACTGAGGATTTCATGAAGAAGACAGGTTACCTCACAAGTTAAGTAATCATACAAATTCTTTACTTCAAGAAAGCCATTGTATCCTGGTATGCAATAAATATTTTTTACATGTAATGTATTTCCTGTTTTATCATAAAGAATATTAAAAGATGTC